GGAATTTCCTAGCACATAGTTTCTGAGACAGAAGCTTATGCAGAGGTTTCTTAGAGAGTTTTCCCAGTAAAGTATAATCTGCCATGGAGAAGGGAATGGGGCAGGACTGGGCTGAGAAAGTTCATCAGCAATATGCAGAGTCTTGAATTTTGTAGTAGGAATGACCCTTAGAGCTGTCCTGGGTCATGATGAAAGACAGAGTCCTTCACACCCCAAACGTGATCAATCATCCGGCAAAACCCTCAGAGGAAGAAGGCATGGCCTTGGGTGAAGGGAGTTGACAGCTGAGGGATCTTTGTTGGCAGCCTTCCCAGTGACTTGAATAGTAAGACCATTATTATTGAAGGGGAAGTCTTGGCACCCATGTCATGGCATGTACCACACTGCTACTTTTTGGATTTGTCACTGAAGCTATCCTGGTTTAATTTCTCATTCCTCTCACTTAGCCTGCAGCCTGATAGTCTATCATCAGAGTCACACCCCGTGGTCAAAGTCAAGTGGTTCTTTATTGCCCACAGAGTAGCAGAAAAATCTATGCTGTATAATAGCAGAGCACTTAGAACCTTCTAATGTCCACACACCATCCACCTAATGCTTATCTTACAAACTGGACAGGCAAGCTCATTAATTCTAAAGGACTCTAAATTCTAGAGTTCAACCTGAGATTCCTTCCTCCTACTTTACTTAGCAAAATCCTGTTCTTTAAGACTAGCTCCAATACTGTCTTCCTCTTTGCCCGAGCTTCTGTTGGATTCCCTATTGCATTTTACCCAGTGTGAATTGTGTGGTAAGAGCAACAACATGTCCATGTTATTTAATCTCACTTCATCCCTAGACTCATAGCACAGAACAGCCTCCCAGTATATTAGATTGTCTTGGGCTATCCCATTTTTTTCAGTGTCTAGAAGATACCCTGAGGAGCAACCAAAAAGAAGGATTCTAGACCCAAAAAACTTATATTTAAATTTGGCTCCATCATTCAATAGTTCTAGAACCCTAAGCAAATTGTTCTACCTTGCCCACCTCTAAGACAATGGTAATAGTAATAGTCAGGATCAAATGAATTAGTCCAAGTCGAATAGTAAGAGCAGTGATTGCCCTTAATCAGCATATAGGCTAGGACTGGAACATGGTTATACCTAGAGATCACTGAAGGCATAACCTTTCATTATATAAAGGAGCTGCCTGTGTCACCAACTGTTATAGTCACCCACAGTCTCACCCTGAGTGCTCTTGTTGCTGAGATTCATGACCTCAATGAAGGGCCCTTTCACAGCTGCTCTGTGGGGAAATCTGTCCACAGGGTTCTTGTTTTCTTTCAGGAACATTCTTTAATGAGTGAAGATATTCTTGCAAAACACTCTGGAATTCTGTGCTTTCCTGGGGCCCTGTCAGTCTGGACAGAGACCTGGTTTTCTAATGAACATTATGCAGTTTTCCAATGTGGAAATTTTTTGAAAAGCACAAAGCATCATATTTATAAATGAATGGATTCATAGACACTTGCAAGCTGAAAACAACCCTGGAGATTTCTTAGTCCAGGGGACAAGAAAACAAGGAGATTAAGTGACTTGCCTAATTCAGACTAACTTATCCAAGTTCTTGAAGGACAAAATTACTCAATAACATTGTCCTTTTCAGCCAAAAGATGCTATTTCCTTCAGTATGTATAATTTGGACCAAAATAGATCTAACTTGTTAAATCTTGTCAGAACAAAAAAAAAAGAAATTTTGTTTATGCCTAAGACTTATTGTTTCACTTAAAATTTATCCTGATTTGGCATAATATCTTCTTTTTCTCATAATTAACTTTTTCACATGAGGACAGATAATTACCACAATTATTAATTCAATTATACCTTTATGTACCACACAGTAAACAAGGAATTGGAAACTTTTTAAATGAATGAGCCCTAGCGCTCTTTGAGTGGGTCACATCTGTAGACTCTCTATGTCTACTGGGTTGTTCAAGTTCAAGGCCCTTTAAAACATGGGTTCAGATTGGGTCGTGATCTTCAAATGATAAGAATTAAATATTATTTGTCACAAAATCAATGATCAGGTTCAGAGCCTGCTTACCATATCCATAGCCAGTTACCATGACACAAGAAGTGTTCTCAAGAAACAAAGAAATAGTTCACTCTAGTCTCCTTCTCTCCTTTGCCCACGGGGTTGTTATTCACAATCCAGGGTCAAATATGAGGCATCACAGTATTGCACTGCAATATAATTTTAACTAATATGTGATGCTATTGATGATGTATTAATTAGAGTTGGTTGACCAAACAACTTTGGAAACTAAGATTTCTTTTAATGTACTGAAATTTTAACATCTCAAAAGGGAGACAGAGCATTTGACAAGGTCAAAGCCCCTTTCCTCATGCTTGTAGGGAGTTGCCCATGATAGCTACAGATCAAGTTCAATTCTGTGTCTATATTCTATCATAAGCAAAGTATTGTTTTATTTACTAATGCGTTATTTTATTGCTATAGCTTAAGCCTCCCTTAACTTTTATATTATTAAAGAGAATAAATTATTCAAGCCATCTATGTAAGACTCTTATCTGTACTTGATAACCATTATTATTAAAGTGCTACTCCTCAACATAACTCTCTAAGCAGATCTAAAAGGAGCTCAAATCCTTATCTTCTGCATTAGGAAACAATTCAATGAATTTGCCTGCTGTCAAGATCTGCATATTTTAGTTTCTGCTTCCTTTCTAATCTCCACTCCCACCATTCTCCTGTAGTCTAGCCCTTGGTCAACAGCTGGGTTTGTCGTTTGCAACCCTAGCCTTATTAGTTCATTGGAAGAGAATGGACCCCTAGAGAATGGAGTCATACAGATCAACTCATGAGAGATTAATGTGTAATACACAATTGATTTATTCATTCAAACTAGCCAGATGTTTGTGTTGCTTGTCTGTGACCTCTTTTTGGAAAAGTAGTCATTGAGAACTTGTGGGTTAGAATCTGTGCCGAAGTATATCTTGATTTTGCTTGCTAACTGCATTATCCCAGGCCAGGACTTTCCAATATCTATTCGCCATCAGAAAATTGGGGATAATGATACTCTTTACCTCTCTGGGTCATTGTGATGACAGTTGCTTACACCAGAATCCACTGCTCCATAAACCTGCAGCCAATGTTAACTATGTTTCTAGAATGGGAATCTACCAAAAGAAGCATAAAGGGAATTAGTTTAAGACATTTTAAAGACATCTTGTAAGTTCCTGTTAATAGCTTCGTCCGTTCGATAGTTACACTGAAAAAAGTTCAAACATTACCAGAGTTCCTTGGTAGTCCCCCATCCTATTGTGTACATATACAAATGAATTCATGGATGAACATGTAAATGCAAATTCACAAATCAACCTATATTTTCATGCTTACCCAGTTTTTTTATCGCTCACCTCCATTCTCCAGCTGTCTCCCTGCCTCAACTTAAAATGCTTCAACGCCCCGCCTGTCTCTGCTGCCTAGTCTCCCCCTTCACACAGTTTAAACCACATGTCTTCCTCAATTGCTCTCCACCTGATTTTTTAGACAGGGTTTTTCTTTGAACGCAGATTTCACTGATGCTACTAAAATGGCAGCCAGCCAGCCAGCCTCAGGAATCTCCCTATCGCTTGTCTCATCAGATACAGGACTAGAAGAGCATGCCATCACATATGGCTACTACATCTCTCTTCCCTCACACATTCTAAACCCCTCATCCTTCACAGGATTCCTTCAAGCTGTTTTGTTTCCTAGAATCCCTCAGCCTTTATCATATTTACAGTCATTCTTTACTGTGTTCTTCTTTGGTCAAATCATGCTAAATGACCAAGGGGACAATGGCCTTTCTCTTTTGATTATTCAGGACCCTACCCTTAGGTAGCTACTCAATCTATCCTTGGATGGGTAGATTTAACCTACTTCACAGTCTATACTTTCTGTGGTGTAAAGTGCAGGCTATGAGCTAGCAGGTAACACACCCTTGGTGCATAGTCACATTTGACAGAGTAAGATCAAACTCATGTCTTCTTCTTATACTATCTACTAGGCCTTATGCCAACCCCTCCCCCAACATATGTAGTAGTTTCTACAATGTAACTTGTCTACCTCCATCATTCTCCTTAACTTAAACGGCTATACCCATCTCTACCCTTAGCTGTAGACCTTTCTATTTGGAGCTCTTGATTTTTCTTTCAATCTTAAACTTATTCTAACCTTCATTTTTATTGTATCTGCATACATTGTTTTTATTGTTAGCTATAATAATTTATTTTTCATCTTATCAAGACAGCTCTGTTCTTTCTGTCTTAGACATAAATGTCCAACAAAAATGTAAACCTTCATCTCTTGGTACCTGACAGGAATTGGTTCCCAGATCCCCTACAGAGCCCTAAGTTCTTTATATAAAATGACATCGAACTTGAGTGTTACACACACAGACACACACACACACACACACACACAACGGAACTTTAAATATATCTCTAGATTGCTTATAATGCTTAGGACAATGTAAATTTTGGGAAGATAGTTGTTATGTTATTGTTGTTTAAGAAATAACGGTCAGAGAAAGTCAGTATGTTTTCGCTATTTCAAATTTTTTTCAGGCTTGTGAGATGAGTCAGTATATGGAACTAGAAAATACATTGTCCTCCATGCCTCATGCATGTCATCTCTACTTATGCATGCCTTCCAACTACAGGCTCATCGTGTTCCAGGTTCTGAGGCCAGTCCTGTCCTTAGGAGAAGGGTAAACTGCATTCAGTTGCCTGAGTGGTCCAGTGCCATCACTTTCTCCCAGACAGTCAGAGAGTAGCAGAACTGGAGGGGAACTTGCTAAGTCCATTTTCATCTCTCTGGCCTGAACTTATCTCTGTGTTTCTTGGTTCACTTCAGTGAATATAGACGTTCAGAGGAATGTGAAAGAGGAAGAGAGGCGGGGCACACACCCTCACCCTGGTCTCTCAGCTGTGCTGCCCCGTCCACTTCCTCTCTGAGCCTGCTTCCCCATCTCCACTTTAGGGACAGTATACCAAGCCTGAGGTTGTGAACATCAAAGAGAACTGGTCTGTGTCGCCACCACTATCAACTCTGAGCATCCCCATGACCTAGGACCTATTCTTTCTGTCACCACCTGGGTAAGGTACTCAATGAATGAGCTCTATGTGGCAGCTCAGGCCTGATAGGCATGCAGGAGACAATGGGTGAGCACAGGGCCTTTCTCTTCCTGCCTCTAGCCCAAACACAGCTGTAACTGAGATTGCCTCAGTATTTAATCAGTGTACTCTGGTTTTACAGCTTTTTCTAAGCTCAGGGCCCATGATAAGGCTTTCCCTTCCTATCAGAAGATGTCATGACTTCCATTGACTACACTTTTTAATTTTTAAAAATGTCTGTTTTCTTATGAAAGATTTAGTTTTAGTGTGTGTGTGTGTGTCTGTGTGTGTGTATGTCTGTGTGTGTGTGTGTCTGTGTGTGTGTCTGTGTGTGTGTGTGTGTTCATGCTTTACCAGTGATTGAATCTAGGGCCTTTTGTGAGCTAGACAAGTACTTTACTACTGCATTCTATTGCCTCTTTAAAAAATACAAAATTTGTAGAGTACAAAACAAGGGGTTTCATTATGACATTGGAACGATTTCTTTTTAACATTAATTTACTTGTGTGTGGGAGGTGGGGGCAGCACATGTGTGCCAGGGCAAACATGTGGATATCAGAGGACAACTCGAGGCAGTTCTCTCCTTCCACCAGGTGGATCAAATTCAGGGTGTCTGGCTTGGCAGCAAGGGCCTAACCCTGCCGTGCAGTCTCACTAGCCCTCATTATGACATTTTAGTACAGGCATGCCATTGTATTTTGCTCATGAGTCTGACAACCTTACTGCTTCCCACCATTCCATAGCTACCTCCAGTCTATCTACTAAGGCATTCATTGGCCCAGAGTTATCTAAACTTCCTGGTGCTGACTGCATGTGTGCAGCGGCACTTTCCTGCCCCAGACTGTGCAGTCATTGTTACCTTCTGCTATCTCTCCCAGCTCCCGCTGGGTCTGTACGCCACCCTTGAGCCTCCTCTTCTAACAGCAGGGCTCCACACAGTTCTTCTCCAAAGACAAGGGTCAGCATGGTCACCAGTTCTAGCATGATGGGCCTACATCCCTAGCTCCACCACGGCTTTCTGTCATGGATGTCTGGGATGAGCCGAGAGCTTGTACCGCCCTGTGCGCTGTTCATTTACCAAGAAACCTGACATTGTGACAGGCATGTCTTTCCGTACAGGGCTCTCTTGAATTTTCTTGCTCCCACTTGACTGTAATGTGAGCCAGCACTCGGAGCCATAGAAACAGGACACCATTCAATAAGCAAACAACTCTAAGTGCCAAGAGTCAACATGCAGCACAGCTTCCAGTGAAGGAAGCTGGGCGTCCAGGTTGGCCATCATTTTTAACACATTGACATGACATCAGACAGCTTCGTTGGCAAGTACCACAGTACTCTCCTGTCGGCACACACTTATCTGGATACAATAGCTAGTTGTCTGTGATAAGAAAAGATCGAGTAACCACTATTTCTACCTGATATTTTCTTGCGCGCCTTTTGGGGGGAGGGACTTGAGGTAAAATCCAGATGCAGCCCAAGGCTCAATCTTGTGAAACATAGTAAAACAGAACACTGAACACTCAGTTTTTTAACTAGAAAAGAATCTCTGGACAGAGTCCCAAAGTGCTTCCATAAGCAAAACAATAGATTGAACCACAATGCATTTGTCTGAGATAAAATTGAAGCTCATACGTCAGGCTGTCAGGGGAATCGATGATTTGAACTGACACTGATGATATAAACAGATACTCAAGGTTGTATGAATTTTGTGAAAAGCCCAGAGCATTCAAGAGTACCGGTTGAGAAGACCATTGAGATTTCGTTTCTGAACATCTGGCTATGGCATCCTGCCAGTTCTCACCTTCCTCTCTTTTCTCCTAATTCTGATTTCTAGAAGTGTTCACAGGCTAAAGCAAGGAAGCAAACAGACAAACCACAGAAAGAGCTGACATTGATGAGCCTCCTGGTGTCTCTGAACATTTTCTAATGCATGATGGTAGCCTTTTTGTAGGGAAAAGGGGCCAGCCAAAGAAACACACCCTGAGCACAACCAAAGAAACACACTTTGGCCCTGCAACCAGAACCAAATAAATGCACCCTGGCCCTGAAACCAGTGCCAAAGAAACACACTTTGCCCCTGGAATCAGAGCCAGTGGAAGAAATACATCCTGGCCCTAAAACTGGAGCCAAAAGGCCAAAAAGGACCAGTGAAAGAAACACACTTTGGTCATGAAACCAAATCTGACCCTAAGCCTGTGCAGAAAACTAACCAATCCCTGAGCAGGAGATCTAACCATCTTAAGCTCAGGGATTGAAATCTGACCAATCCCCACCCTGAAAAAACTCTGCCCCCTAAGAATCCCTATATAAGCCCTGTGTCTGTTCAGGCTGCTGGGCTTTCCTCTGCCATCCTGGCAGAGGGCAGCTACTCTCCTGGATTCTTCTCTCACAATAAATCTCTTGAATGAGGTTTGGGTAAGACTTTCTTTCCAGGAAGCAGAGAGGACCCTGGGCAGAACAGAATGGGGGCAGAGTGGGGGGTGTCGGGGGAACTGGATCTGAACTGTGACAACTTTGCTGGGGAAGCTCTCTCCTGCAGAAGCAGAACTGATACACTAGGGAAACCTTTCCCTGAAGCAAGGCTGTAAGCTGCTATGCTTACTATGACCCGTGGTATTCCTTGGTTTCCAGTTTCCAGAATACCTTTTCATCCAAGCTGCAACACTCAGTGTTCTGTGACTCCCAATTACCAGAATACCTTTCCATCTGAGCTGTAACACTCAGTATTCTTTGGCTCCTGCGTGCCATAATCCATCCCTGTCCACCCCATCTGAGCCGTCAAAATGCTTACACTTTTCTCACTCCTACAGAGACAGTAGGCTGGAGGAGGGCAAAAAAAATTCTCTGCTTCCTAGTTGCTTCTGCATGCTGGATAGTTTTATGTCAACTTGACATAAGCTGAAGTCATCTGAGAGGAGGGAACCTCAGTTAAGAAAATGCCTCCTTAAGACTGGGCTGCAGGCAAACTTGTAGGGCATTTTCTTAATTAGTGATTGATGGGGGAGGAGTCCAGCCCATTGTGGGTGGTCCTGGGTTCTATAAGACAGTAGCACTATAAGTAAATAGCACTGCTCTATGGCCTCTGCATTAGCTCCTGCCTTGAGGTTTCTGCCCTGTTTGAGCTCCTGTAATGACTTCCTTCAATATTGGACTACAATATAGAAGTTTAAACTAAATAAACCCTTTTCTCCCCAATTTGCTTTTTGGCTATGGCGTTTTGTTGCAGCAATAGAAACACTAACCATGTCATTCCATAATATGTTCTTCATTGATTTGGTCATGAGCAGAATGCTTGTGACCCTAGCTACCTTGCAGAGGGAGAAATAAAAAAGGGCTAAGAATTTTTGTTGTGCATGGTGACACAAGTTGTATATGGATTGTATACACTAGAGTTGTTTTTCTATACATTCATATTGCAAGCTCCAACAACAACTAAGGAAAGGTTACCATTTTTTCCCGAGACAGGGTTTCTCTGTTTAGCTTTGTAGACCAGGCTTTTCCCCTGAACTCACGGAAATTCACCTGCCTCTGGCTCCCTAGTGCTGGGATTAAAGGTGTGTGCCACCACCACTCAGCTGAGTTTAACATCTTAAATAAACCTCACTTGTGTTCCACTTTATCTTTAGAACACTGACAAAGGAAGCTATTATATTTAGTTTTAAAAAGAGGAAATCACATTTTTTTTTACCCAAGAGAGCTGTACTAATTTACATTCTGATCAACAGTGTACAAGAGTTCCTCTTTCTCTGAGTCTAGTGTGACTCTGGTGGTCACTAAACTCACTATGTAGCTGTAGTAGTTTGAATAAGAAAGACTTCCAATAGGTTCATATGTTTGAATGCTTGGTTCTCAGTTAGTGGAACTGTTCGGGTAGGATTAGGAAGTGTAGCCTTGTTAGAGAAGGTGTCCATGCCATTCCCAGTTAGCCTCTTTTTCTACCTCATGCTTGTGGGACAAGATGCAAATTCTCAGCTACTGCTCCAATGCCATGGCTCCCTGCCTGCTACCATGCTCCCAGCATGGTAGTCAGGGACTCACCCTCTGCAACTGTAAGCAATTAAGTAAAACTTGTTTTTTATAATTTGCCTTTGCTATGGCAATTGATCAAGGCAGTAGAAAAATAACTAAGACAGTAGCCAAGACTGTCCTCGAACTTCTTTATCTCCTGTTTCCACCCCCCAATTACTGGAATGAGATGCTATTCCATTGTGGATTTAATTTGCATTTTTATTCTGTTTGTTTATAGAAAGATATTTTCACCCTCTAAAAGTGTACTTTATTTTATTTACTCTCTCTCTCTCTCTCTCTCTCTCTCTGTGTGTGTGTGTGTGTGTGTGTGCGTGCGCATTTGTGTAAGTGTTCTTGTTCTTGTGTGTTTCAGCATAGGTTTGGAGGTCAGAAAACAGCTTCCAGGAGTCAGTTCTTTCTCTCTTCCTTCTGGTTTGTTTCTACACCATACACTACACTCCAGGATTGCTGGGTCATGGCTTCTGAGGAATTCTCCCATTTCCACCTCCCGTCTCACTGTAAGAGTGCTGGAAATACCACCACCACCAGCTGTTTACACAGGTTCAGGGGTTTGAACTCCAGTTGTCAGACTTGTGTGGCAAGCTCAACAAGCCATCTCTTAGACCCATAATACACAGTTCTTTGATGATTAGTGATGTTGAGAATTTATTTTTGTGTACTTGGTCATTTGTCAGTGTATTTTCTTTATTCAGATCATTCCCCCTTTTTAAAAGGACACACTATACACATATATAGAATTACCACTGTTTCAATTAAAGTTTTGAAGATAGTTTTAGAAAAGAAATCCTTTAAAAAACACACCCTAATTTTATGAAACTTCCCAAGTTGCTGATAAAATAACTCAAATATCAAGATCTTGACAGAGCCCCAAGCTGCCTCAAGAATGACTCCACAGACTTTCATGAATGCACAATACACACCAAGTTGCCCCTGTACTGAGCCACTAATTAATA